TTTCTATTCTATTCCTTGTGTATGACAAGTATTCAATATTAATGAAACCCAATAGTGGTATAAATTTCTTTACATGTCCCAAATTTAGAGACCTTGAAATTTGAACTTAGAAAGTTTTTTTTTTTTTTTTGAGACAGTCTCAAGCTGTCACCCTCAGTAGAGTGCCATATCATCGCAGCTCATAGCAACCTCAAACTCTTGGGCTTAAGCGATTCTCTTGCCTCAGCCTCCCAAGTAACTGGAACTACAGGTGCCTACCACAACGCATGGCTATTTTTTGATTGTAGTTGTCATTGTTCTTTGGCAAGCCCAGGCTGGGTTCAAACCTGCCAGCTCTGGTCTATGTGGCTGGTGCCCTAGCTACTGAGCTACAGGTGCTAAGCCCCTTTTTTTTTTTTTTCTTGAGACTATGTCGCCCTTGGTAGGGTGCCGTAGCATCACAGCTCACAGCAACCTCAAACACTTGGGCTTAAGTGATTTTCTTGGGTCAGCCTCCCAAGTAGCTGGGACTATAGGCACCCGCCACAACACCCAGCTAGTTTTTGGTTGCAGTTGTCACTGTTTAGCAGGCCCAGCCTAGCTTGAACCCACCAGTCCCCAGTATATGTGGCCTGCGCTCTACTCACTGAGCTATGGCCGCCAAGACAAAAAGTCACCTTAATTGAGAACTGTGCTCATCAGTAATTCTGAATGCTACCAAATACTCAATTATTTTCTTAATCATAAAATAAAGAACCCACTTATTCAGAAAGCACTCTACAAACAATACCCATAATATTGTTAAAAAATAACTTTATAGTTGGGAAAAAACATCTGAAACCAAACCTTTTTTTTTTTTTTCTTTTTTTTGGAGAGACTTATTCTACTGCTCTGGGTAGAGTGCCCTCGTGTCATCGTATCTCATAGCAACCTCAAGCCCTTGGGCTCAAGCAATTCCGCCTCAGCCTCCCCCACAGCTGGGACTACAGACATGCAGCACCACGCCCAGCTCTAAAACCAAATCTTAACTCTGCCACTCACTAACTTGTTCAACTCTGGGTACATTTCTTAAATTACGTTAGTCTCATGCTCTCTCATAAAATGAGAATAATACCATCTCCGTCTGTGAGTTGCTGTGATGGTGAATGTAGAAAGCCCTTAGCTTCTAGGTAAAGGCCAGGTCTCACAGTAGCAGTTAGAGAAACAAATGTCCACAGGTACTGCTGATAGGCAATGTCATTTAGTTTGGTCAATTTATTTACTAGTTTAACTTCCAGTGTACCCTTATTTTTGTTCTGCCAAACATTTAGGGCAGTACACAATACCTCACTCTTGCTCCCAAGGATCCACTTAAAGTGAAAGTTGGATTTTACTCCTCTTCCAACCCCTGATAATTTAGCAATATAGTAATAATCTATTATTTAACTATCTTGGTGTTGGTTACATTGAAAGCAAAGCTTTTACTATTTTGATTCCTACTCTCGATCTGAGTCAGCTAACTCCATCTTTCACTACATTTTGATATAAACCCAAATAGTAAGACAATTTTATAAATACAAATCATGATCAGAATATTAATGTTGGGTGAAAAAAGTGGGAAGTCTTCCAAGGGACTGGACAGAGGGATCTAATACTAAGAAATCGTGTATTCAGCAGTATGTACTAATTTACTTTCTCCTTTAATCCTCACAGCTATCATTCTCTAGTCAATATGAGCATCACTTTATAGATTAGGAAAATGAAGTTCTAACTCTTGCTCTCTTCTCCATGTTCAAGGTGCTCAAACCACTCTAACTTACAGGAAAGCTCTCACCTCAATCCTCTTATGATCTCTGCCTGGGGAATGCTTTCATCTCTCCACAAGATCACCTTCTGTTTCAGGTCTCACCTCAAAACTATCTCCTTTGACTATTCACTCAAAAGTAGTTCACACCAATTTCTCCATCTTTATTTCCTTCAGAACACAAAACCATCTGTGCTTATCTTTTTGTGTTTAACGGTAGGGATACTTTGACTTATTACTGCTCTGTCCTAGTTGGTCACCATAGAGGAAGATACTGATTTTTTTTTTTTTAAACAGTGTCTCAAGCTGTCCCCCTGGGTAGAGTGCCATGGCATCAATAGCTCACAGCAATCTCCAACTCTTGGGCTCAAGTGATCTTCCCGCCTCAGTTTTTCTATTTTTAGTAGAGACGAGGGTCTCAATTTTGCTCAGGTTGGTCTCGAACTCCTGAGCTCAAGCAATCTACCCGCCTTGGCCTCCCAGAGTGCTAAGATTACAGGCATGAGCCACTGTGCCAGGCCTGAAGATACTGGTTTAAAGAATGAATGAGCACACCAGCCTACATTCATTGAGTAAAGAGCAGGGCCTGCCTATGAGTCCAAGGTAAAGAGCAGGGCCTGCAAACCAGTCCAAGCAAAAATGACTCCAAGCTCCTCCACTACCAGCACTACTACTATTTTCTTCACAGTTGGGAGGGGAGCTGTTTGGGGCTGAAAAATCAGTTAAGAGGTGTGCCTTCCTGATCTCTTATATTCATTCACTTGGAAGAAATTTACAGAACTACCAACACACATAATTACTACTACAAAATATTTAACCTGAATTTCAAGAGCTATTACACTGCCTTTTAGAATTACAAGTCAATCTGGAAAAACACTGCATTATGATGTCCATTAACAATCATAATACATTTAAAACTGTTGAGTGGCACATGCATAAATTATGTAAGGCTAAAAGAAAAGTGACATATTCGCACTTTACTAACAGTCTGGTAATATTTTGTCCCTCTGTAAGTTGCTCTGAGTTTCACAAAACACGGCACAGAAACTTCTTAAAACCAGCCATGGGACCTCGTTCTCATAGTTTCGTTCTTTCCTAAAGATGACCCACACACTCACTGTTGCTTGTTGCAGTTAAACCACGTCCTAGCAGGTAAAAGCCTAAGGGCCGCTCAAGCAGACCTCTAGCAGCATCCCCTGTCACCTCACCCACAGGATCTAATACTTACTGTTGAGGCCTCCATCCTCAGACACTCCAGTCCCTCTCATTCCTAGGTAAGTCAGTCCCAGGATTAGGAAAAATAAGCAGGCAGCAGTTAAGAGAAACATGGACAAATAGTGGGCACTGAAACTCCCTGTCGGGGACGCCTCTTCCCGTTTAAACTGCTGGAGAAGTTCCTCTTCGGGTTCGGAGAGCTTGGGTTTGCCGTACGCGTTTTTCAGGTAGGTATGATTGGAGCCCGTGTGATTGGCGTGATTGATCCTGAGTGAGCCGGAGGCGACCCCGGCCGCAGTGGGAGGGAGGCTGTTGGAGTAGATCCTGGGGGCGTCCACAGCGAAGGCCCCACCACCGATGTGATTGTTGGTTTTAAGAAGGGAGCCTGCGGAAGAATCCAAGGTTGAGTCCACGTCAGTAAGCTGCGGGGACAGGACCGGGGGCAGTTTCTTGGCGCTGGCGCGGAATCTGGGCACCGGGCTGGAGTCCCCCTGATCGCAGCCTCCTCGCTGCTCCGCCGCCGCCTCGTCGAGGCTGCGGCTCCTGTCTAGACTCCCGGCGGCCGCCGCCCTGTCATTCATCGCGAGCCCTGCCCCTCCTGGGGCCGCGGGCTCCAGCCGGCCGCCGGCAGCCTTCGCAGCCAGCGGGGAAGGCGGCTTACTGTGGGTCCGTCTGGGCCGGTGCCGCGGAAGGGGGTCGTCCTTCAACACCTGTCGGGCGGAGGCCGCGTCTTCGGCCGCCTCTTCCTCAGAGTCCGAGTAGTTCTCCCGGCAGCTGTAGGACACCAGCCGGCTGCCGTTCACCGCCCGGCTCGTCCACAGCGGCTCCTCGGCCTCCGCGTCCCGGTCCGCGCCGTCCTCCGCCGGCCCGTCCTCGTCCCCCCC